TGTTTTCTCCTGTCCCCTTCACCTTAGTCCATGATTGTCTTTAATATCTCACCTCTTCCCCTCGCCAGTATACGATATCCTCCGTGTCACCCTCGCACTGACGACCCACTTTTCGTCTCCCATTCGGGTTCCACTCGAGTGATGGCCTGCACTGAGCGCGATGTCATTCGACGGTTTCCTAAATGGCGTATGCCCAACGTATCTCCATTTCCTCCAACTGTTTCGCTGTCATCAATTTTTTATGTCCATTTAATCGTAAGCATAAACGTGCTCGAACCACAGCGTGATCAGAGTCTACACATGTGTTCCAGAAGGAGCGGCAATCTTCTACTGACCCTCGCCAACGATACCCTATGGCTATGTGGTCTATCTGAGTCCAGCGTTGATTTGGTGACGGAGGTTGCCAGGTTACACAATGTCTCTCTTTGTGCCTAAAGCTAGTGCTGACTAGGAACAGATGATTATCTGAACAAAACTGTAGAAGACGATCACCGATGTCGCTTCGTCAGCAGAGAATTCCATACGTACCACCTACATACTTCTCAGTCTGGCACAACTTCCCTACTTGGGCATTGAAGTCGCCTGCTAAAACAACTATATCTGAACGTTTCGCTTTTTGCAGCAAATTAGACAGCTTCAGGTAGAAGTCATCCTTTAGTTCATTCGAACTGCAGTCTGTTGGGGCGTAAGCGGAGACTGCGAATAGGCAACGACAGGTAGTGCCGTCTTTCCTTATTTCAATGGACCCATTCAAACGGACCGCGTACATACGACTATCCACTGGGATCCAGTCAAGAAGTGATTTTTCCGCCCTAACAGTCAGCGCTATCCCTACACTTGCAAGTCCTCGCGAGCTAGCTAAGGGGTCTCCTGACACCCTTAAAGTGAATTTTGCAGATTCACCTTGTTGACCGGGTGAGGTTAAATGAACGACGACACTCGGATCTTGTATGCGTGTCTCCGAAACACGATATACATCCATGGCTCGAGATGCTAGAGTTCTTCTTAGTGATGCCTGTTGTCAGATTTGGCAGAGGGCCCTGACGTTAAATGCTCCTATATGAAGTCGGAGACGTGGCTTTTAAAGGCTATCTGGGGGTGTTTCTGTGGCTCTCATCGTTATTTTTGGTCACAGAGTGAAGTGAAGGTGCCTCGCTAACTTGAAGAATAGTACTATCTGTAGTAGAGAAGCAAGATGATGAACGTGATGTGGGTAGAGGAGAATGATACTCAGGAGTGCTTCATGTGCTTTTGGAAGTGTGTGGGCGGTTGTTACTTCCCGGCTGCCCACAACGTGGAAGTTGATTGATGAACTGGTTTCTGGGATTGGTTGCGTATTAGTAAATTTACCGCCGGTTACGGACCACCATAGGATAAGTCGGTATGTACAATTTTTGGGGTCGACCTTTTCTAAACCCCTATTCTCCAGAGTGGAGAATCAGAATAGTTGGCCGGCACGCTAGTCGTCTGAGGTAAACACCTTACTGCTGTTACATCCCTGTTTCTCAGCAGTACGACTTCGCCCATAGACACCCAGCATAATGTAAAAAAATTCTTTCAATGCACCGGCAACTGCTTTTAGTCTAATCGCCATGCTAACAACCTTCCTGGCATGGTGAGACCTGCAGGAACAATGGTTCCAGCCAGTGTAGCTTGTTGGGTCATCGCGATGTGCAAGCGCGGTGACCACCGCGTCAAGGTAGCAGCTATCGGTCGGGTTTTTTCTCCTACATGTTTCTTGAACAATAGGTTCATGGTTAGTTTGTTCCACTGTACAGTTTCTTCTTGCTAATTCTTTTTGGCCAGCCAGCCAGCCAGCCATTTGATCTTCAATAAGGAGCAGGCGAAGGTAGCTGTTGATGAAAGTCTGCATTGGCCTATTAAGAATGGTTTTCGTGACTCACACGTTGGCCAACTTTCTGACTCATACAGGAGAACTGGACTAACTTATCATTTGTGTTAGACAGAATCCAAATCTTGGTGTTTTTCTGATGAGCACAGATCTCCAAACCGATTTCAGGCGGATGAACGTATCTTGCTTGCCCTTTCGATTCTGACTAGCTTGTTTTGACATCTTCATCCGTTCCGCGCGTGATTGAAACAATGCTTCTTGTCCAGATAACTTGTGTTAGGATGGTGATACAGACAATTTGTTGCAACGGAATATTATTCTCCTATATTCCTATAGTTCAATACTATAATAGCAACACAATACAATATATCTATTTGAACATTCTATTCATTGTTCGAGACAAAATACATTTCCCACGGTTAGATACTGCACTAAGAAAAGAATACTATGTATATTTGAACATTCTATTTCATGTCATGTAATGTTAACCGAAATCAAACGCTCAGTGATTGGTTAAACTATATAGACTGTATATAAAAGCCGTGGAAAGAGGGCAAAGTACCCAAGGATTGGAAGAAAGGATACTTATTCAAACTACCAAAGAAAGAGACTTAAGTCAATGCAAGAACTGGCGCAGAATTATGCTCCTGTACATCCCAAGCATAATACTAAGCCGCATCATCCTGGAGAGAATCAAACACGTCAAGCTGGATGAAAAACTTCGACAGGAACAGGCTGCATTCAGGAGAAACAAGTCATGTATTGATCAAATAGCCACACTATGGATCATCATTGAACAAAGCTTGGAATGGCAGTCACACCTCTCTCTAACTCAACTTCATCGACTTTGAAAAGGACTTCAACAGACAGCAACGATCAAGAGGTGATTTGGCAACTACTTCGCTACTACAGGGTGCCATCGACAAATATACATCTCATCCAACGGTTGTACGACAATGCTGCATTCCAAGTAATCCACAACGAGAAACTCATGGAATCCTTCGAAGTGAGGACGGGAGTAAGGCAAGGCTGTCTACTATCGCCAATGATTTTCCTGATTGCAGTAAATTGGATAATGTGACAGACAACGGCGGGAAATGAGGAAACAGGAATAAAATGGATCCACACAAAAAACTTGGAGGATCTGGACTTCACCGATGATGACATATGTCTGATTTCCCACAAACTGGAAGATATGCGAGTGAAAAGCAACAAGTTGGCAGAAGAAGCATCAAAGATAGGACTTCAGATGAACATAGAGAAAACAGAGGTGATGATGAAGATTCCTGCCTGCCAACACCAACAGCAACAACAACAGACAACAATCAGCATAAATGGGAGGAACTTGAAATAAACAACCTCTATAGTTTGATTTGTAAGGGTTAATTATGTTTTTACGAGTTGATCACGGATTGTTATCAGTTAGAGGACCATTGAAAACCAGGGAGTATTGGGCAGCTGCTGTTTCATCCTAGTTCGGGAATCATCGGCAGTACGCATCCACCACCACATTTCGAACTCACGACCTTCCGGTTACAAGGCAAGCTCGTTTACCATTCAGCCACTTGGATCCGTTTCAATGGCTCATGAATTCTAACTTCTATCAATTCGTGATTTAGGGCGACCCCAACCATTGTCGTTGGTGGGACATCCATCCACACACGTGACATCTAATTGAACCTCACTGGTCACGACTTCTCACTAGAACTCAGGAAACTCCAACCTGTAGCAAGTCACTAGCGAGCATCAGATTAATTTTCTATGGTTTGGTTTGATTCCCAAACTAGGATGAAACAGCAGCTGTCCAGTACTCCCTGGTTTTCAATGGTTCTCTAACTGATATCAATCCGTGATCAACCCGTAAAAACATAAACAACCTCCTTTACTTACCTACCTGGCAAGCATCGTTTCAACTACAAGCGGACGGAACTAACGAGGATATCGTAGCAAGAATGGGAAAAGCAAGACAAGCCTTCACTACTCTCACCAAGTCTGTGTGCAGGTGAACAGCCCTACTCAGCATGAAAAATAACATCCGGATTTTCAACTCCAATGTGAAGTCAGTTCTACTCACTATACGGATCAGAGAATCGGCGCGTCATAAAGAGTATCTCAAACAAACTACAGACCTTCATTAACAGCTGTCTTCGCTCAATACTACTCAAGATCAGATGGCCAGCCAGAAAAGATCAGCAACAAAGATCTCTGGCAATGAGCGAACCAACCAGGAACCGATTGTGCAACAAATCTGCAGGAAGAAATGGAAATGGATTGGCCATACTCTGAGGAAACCGTCAAGTGACATCACTAGACAAGCCATTGCTCGAGTGGAACTCGAAAGGGAAGCGGCGAGTTGGTCGTCAGTGCAAGGGTGACTTGGAGGAGGTCATGTCGAGAGGAGATGAAAACATGTGGGCAGACTTGGAGACAGGTGAAAACTCTAACAGAGAACCGAACCCAATGGAGACGCACGGCTGAAGCCCTATGTTCCTCTAGGATTTAAAGGAAACGATAATAATAATGATAAAAACTGCCGTTTGATCAACAGAAAAGACACCTTGGCTCCCATTTCTTGCCTTCTGTTGTGAAGGAAGTAACCTCTTTCAAATTACTCCTGTTGACAGTGATTGTTACTTGCCGTTTTTAATGCTGTTGGTTGGTTATCTTCATCACATTCGTCTTCTATTTGTTCACCTGGAGTCCTGTCTTCGCTGCTAGCCTCTTCTGCCATTTTTTGCTGATTTTCGCCTGCCTGACTGCAAGTCTTCTAGTCTGTGTGACATTGAACATAAATTATGTACACGCGAAATCAAGATACGCGATAGTCCTCATTTTGGTCCAATGTATTCCTGTCCTCTCACCCACTATAGTCTGACGCACGATCCAGTTCCCCATAATCAGGAATATCATCGGCATTAATAATAGACAGTCAGCCTCGTCCTACTCCTGTCTTCACTTCAAACACTTCACTGAGTTTCCCAATGTGGATAACCCCACATGTGGTAGGCACTGTCACATAGCCGGCTTCTCGGTTGACACTGTCGAAGGCTTTTGCAAAGTCGATGAATTTGAGGATGAGATTTGAACACCATTCTATGTTGTGTTCGATGATGACACGTAGAGTTGCTAACTGATCAGTACATGACTTGCCTTTACTGAATCCAGCTTGTTCCGGTTGACGGAGCTCTGTATCCAGTGCATCTTTTATTCTCTCTAGGATGATTCGACCAAGTATTTTACTTGGCGTGGACGACAGCATTATTCGACGCTAGTTTTTGTAGAGGCGTAAATCACCCTAGTTTGGTAGTTTGACAAGGCAACTTTTACTCCAATCAGTAGGTCCTTTTCCTTCCTTTCAAACCTTCTGTAATAGTAGCGTGAGGATATCGGCTGCAGTCTCTAGATCCGTTTTCAGTACTTCAGTGGGGATTCCAACCCGAAACCTGATAGCACTTAACCAAAATAAATTCTGCAACAGTATTTCTATAGCATTAAAATGTTTGATTGGCAAAGATGGATAGCAATCACTACTACTACATTATATGAAGTAGATTTATACTTAATCTGTGTGTCAGATCAGTTAGACTGGCTCTGTGGTCCATTGAATTAGGCGTCCTACTTGTCATCACCAGCATGTCAAAAGTTTGAACACCACTCACCCAATTAGGTTAGAACAGCCACACAAGTATTAGCCCAGACGCTATATATGCACCTTATTCCCATGTACATTAACAGGTACATCATCGTTGCGTAATACTTGACTCATTGATTTCAAATGCCCTCAAAGAATCCAGTTAACGCTTTGTGTCAACTATTAATCGGAACACATGTTATATGCACCAGACTAAGAGCCATACACTTATCGTGTGAGATCTGATGATACTACCCAGTTGTCCAGGCTGAAATAGACCATGCGGGACTCGCACCCATGACTCATCATCAGCTGAAAATTGAGTTTCATACAATGATTCGCCTTCATAAATTTGAACAAAGAAATAAAAAACATTGGCGCAGAATAATCGCCAGTTCTCATCCACCGCGTACAACCTGAATTCTTTAATAAAATAAAAGTGTACAATTTTAACAAACTTTTGTCCATTATCAAGCATATTGTCAGAGCGTCATAGCGATTTACAAGGTGTCGAAAGTGTTACGACATAGAGAGAAGTTCCTTGAAAAAAAAAAAATTAATTAACAGTTGTGTTATTGGGATGGTAACAAAAGAAAATTAGTAATAGTTACGTAATTAGACAAGAAAGGATCAAAATTTCGGTGCACATGAAGTCAGATGAGAAGTTGATGATGGAATACGGTGAGCAGAACTCAGAAGATGCAGAGAAATTATCTCTTAAAAGAGTCAGGCGAAAAATAAAAGGGAGGGTGTGTGTGAAAAGATAAGTTAACAAAATTAGAAAACAAAGAGTTACTAAGAAGTGAGTCTCACCAGGGTAATTGAAGTCCAAAAACGGATTCTTTTTGGGCACATAAGTCAGACTTCAATCGTTTTATTCCTATAGCTTCAGCAAACCTGAGAAGGCTTGAGGTGCTTTGTCTGTTAACTATTTTGAATGATTCCAGCACATCTACTCGATGTCCTGTGTCGATCAGGTGTGTTTGCCTTAAGCTGATGAGCCACATCTCAACTTGATGTCAACCAAGTGTGAAATTCTAAAAATACACTATATTGATCGAGTCGTTCCTTAAGTCAGTCATCGTCCAATTCGTGAGCAACACACATAATAGTCGGCTAATGAACAGAGAGGAACCCCCCTCTCCAAGTGACCACAAGTTAAACAATGTGGATAAAAACTGGAAGTTTAATCGAGTTAAGTTTTAAAAGTTGATAGCTGCTTTCATTACACAATTAAGAATACACAAATCAAGAGTTTATTTGCAAGGGTCTGATCTGTTTTTTTTTAAGTTTGATCACGGATCGATATCAGTTAGAGGACCATTGAAAACCAACACTGGAGTACTGGATAGTTGTTTCGTCAACCTAGTCTGGAACTCATCAGCAGTACGCACCCATTACTGGGTCTCGAACTCAGGACCTTTCGGTTACAAGGAAAGCTTGTAGACCATTCAGCCACTGAGACCCGACTCATTAGCTAGCCCGTGAATTCTAACTCCTACCAACTCGTGATTTTAGCGCAACCACAAATTTGTAAAAGTCTTGACATTTCGACTTCTATCGTATAATCCATTCTCTGTTAACGATGGTAGATAGAAAAATCCCTTTGAAGTCAGCCTTGACGATGTTGTGTCTAGCATACAATCAGCACCAACGCCAAGGACTAGACAAATGACACTAGTAACATCCATTATTATTGTTATTCCCTTGGGTTCCGAGTGGAACATACGGCTTCAACAACACATCTCCATTTTGCCCTCTTTAACTGGCTGGGTCCAGGATTGCCTATACTGTTGGTGGTATTTCTGGGCAAGTTGCAGGTAGGTGGTGGTCGATTTTAGAACCTTTTGAAGTGATCAGCCCACTGTTTTATTCGTCTCTCCTTCTTGGTAATTAGGTTCCCTTGAACATCTTTTTATAGGATTCACCTAATTTGATCTCTTCGCGGATAGGGACCTGGTCATCTGATATCATGTTTTAAAGTTTGTTTTACTTGCGCACTGCCTGCTGTGCTTCAGTTGCCGGCCAGTGTGTCGTACAATTCTCTTCTATCTTTCCTAGCGCTCTTCTTCACTTTTTTATTCAATGTAATGTACGCTGAACTTAGCTTCTTCTTCTTCTGTTGCCCATCGTTGCATTGAGTTATCTTCCCTTTTACCATTCTCCTCTCCTCTCTTCTATTAGCATCTAGGTAGGTGTCCGTTGAAAGCTATTCCTTGTCTTATCTCTTCTTTCTTCCTAGAATAGTTATACACATTTCCATGAACATAAACTTTAGAGAGTTCCAGTGTTCTTCCACGCAGGTCTCAACAGTGATACCACGTAGTGTCTCCAACTTTGCTTTTATCTGATCTGTAGTGAAGGTATCTCTGGTAGTTTTATCTTTCAGTCCAGTTTTGGAATGTTGAACTTTAATTAGAGTAACCTGTCTCCAGTTTTTCTGAAGGATTTCAGCTTCACTTTGAAGGTTCCTTGAACTAGATGATGGGCTGAGCCCACATCTACTCCCCTTCTTGACCTTGTGTCCAGCAGTCTAGCTTCGTGTCCACTTCCTTCAGCATCATTGAGATTAAGTCTATCTGATTTGTGGTGTGTCTGTCAGGCGGAATCCATGTCGCCTTGTGTATATCTTTGTGTTTGTACACGCAGCCTCCAATCACCAGATTAGTGAAAGCGTACAAGTCTGAGAAGAGTTCTCCCTTCTCATTCATTTCTCCAAGCGACAACCTCTCGACCCATAATGAGTTCTCTTCCTGTATTGTCTGCTACCCGTTCGGCTTACATTCATATCGCCCATGAGGATGTTGTCCATCACCGTTTGTAGTCGTCTGTAAAAATCCTCCTTCTTCTCTTGTTCTGCGTTGTTTGTAGCATGGTGCGTAGCACTGAATGATAATTGTAACCTTCCTTCCCACCTGTTCAGTTGAATCTTGCTGTCATGATCCTGGACGAAATTGGTTCCCACTGCATTAGGACTTTGGCTACCACTGGTGACACCATGATAGCCCCTGACTGCCTCCATGTGCTTGTGTTTGTCGTCTGGATGACTGAAGTAGATTCCTGACTCACCAGTTGACAATTTTAACAGTCCACATCCACCACAGTCTGACAAATCAGTCATGAGTCCAGATAACTCGATAGCAACTTATCTAACTGTATGGTTGAGCAACACAAGTTCAAATCTCAAAGGGAGCAGGGGGGACATCAGTTGCTCCTCTAAAGTCGCATATATTCCAAAAGGCACGAAATCTAGGTACAGGGCAGGACTTCTTGTCAACTGCTCTCAACCACCATTTAATAGTTAACAGAAATAAAAGCTAAACATTTTCAAAATTTAACTTACACGACATGTATTAATTTGTTCTTGAGTAAGCGATTCATCAACCCATTTTATAGAACTATTAATCCCTTTCTGAAATAAATAAATAAATGTGAATATCAATACAGATTTAATGATATTCATTTTATACATTATAATATTATTCAGGTATTAACTAATGGTCAAGACTGAAGATAAGAAACTCCACTTAACATGAATAATCATCTACACACTCATTAGTTTTAATTTATACGTCTTTATGTCATTATTGGCTTGAAAGGAAGGAAGGAAAGGTGCCTGCTGATTGGAAGAAAGGCTACTCCGTCGAACTGCCAAAGAAGGATGACTTAGGCCTCTAAAAAATATAGCGTAGAATAATGCTGTCGTCCACGCCAAGTAAAATACTAAGTCGGATCATCCTGGAGATAATAAAAGATGCACTGGATGCAGAACTCAACCCACCGGAACTAGGTAGATTCAGCAACTCTACGTATCATCATTGAACACAGCATTAAATGACAGTCAGGCATGTACCTCAACTTTAAGAGGGCCTTCAACAGCATTGATTGAAAATTAATTTGAACACTTGAACACTGTGACTTGCAGTGCTATAAAATTTTTGTCAGCCTCATTTAACAGCTATAGGACGATGACAGGTGTCAGGTGACTCACAATGGAAAACTCAGTGAAGTCTGCCTTTGAAGTGAATACAAGAGTAAGACAAGGCTGACTGCCTACTATCACAGATTATATTAATACTTGTGGTGGACTGGATTATGCGCCAAACTGCGCTTTGGGAGTCAGAAGACAGGAATACGCTGGACTTACTTACTTTACTTTACTTCGGCTATCTCCTACGGGAGGATGAGCCGGCTTCATGAACGTCTCGAATCATCGCTGCCCAGGCGCGGCAATTTGTAAGAGAATTCATGAAGTTTCATGGGAATTTGGTACGAGTGATGTCCCCAGAATCGCTCGGCCTTTTGTTTGAGAGTGCAGCTCTAGCCTTTACACAACCAAGTGTGACCTACAAGGCAGTAGGAGTGGAGTAAGGAGTCCACTATCCATTGGCAGCCGATGACCGGAGTTCGGTTCATACGCCTTTTTGAATGGGGCCAGACATCCAGGACATCCAACAAGCCCTTTGTCCATACGTCTGCCGGTGAGCTCCAGTGAGCTTCATACGCCAATCGTTGGGGGTTTGGGATCAGGGTTTAGCCATCTCCCCTAGACTGTCATCCAATGGACAGTCAACCCGGTGGAGAGCGCCAGGCATCCGCTTTCGCCCTCTCACTTTGGTGAGAAACACCTCCGCCACGTGAAGGCAGTGAGTAGGACATCCTCAGGAGAGGCTATGTAAGACGCCCGGTCATATGGGAGCATTTCAAGAGGTGTGCGGAGGGGTGGCCAACCCGCAGCGCAAGGCACCCACCCCCGACCATCCTGAGGCTTTGGAGGCAATACGCTGGACCACCGAGAAGATCTGGATTTCGTGTGTGGATAGTTTATGTTTGATGTTACACAAATTCGAAGACTTACACTCAGGCGAAAGACATAAACAAACTGGCAGAGGACGCGAGGAGAGAAGACATATGTCCAGGTGAACATATATAGAAGATGGAGGTGATGAAGACAACCAAGCGACAGCGACAGCAACAGCAACAACAACAACAGCCAGCACTAATCACCATCAACGGGAGAAGTTTGAAAGAGGTTACTTTCTTTACTTATCTGGCTAGACAGCATCGTTTTAACTACAGGTGGGACAGATGGAGAAATCAATGCCAGACAGAATCGGCAAGGCCAGATCCACCTTCATCAATCTGAAATCGATTTAAAAATCGACTTCACTCAGCATAAAGAATGAGAGATCTGGGTTTTCAACACAAATGTGAAATCAATCACTTCTTCTATACGCGTCAAAAACTTGACCAACGTGTCAAGAAAAGCATTTCCAAAAGTCTGCTGTAGACTTTTGTGAACAGCTTTCTTCCCTGGTTGCATACTGAAGATCACATAGCCAGCTAAAAATAATTAACAACAAGAAACTCTAGCAATGAACAAACCAACCAAGAGCCGATCGCTTAACAGATACTTAGGCGGAAATGGGGATGGATTGGGCATATGTTGAGGAGGCTGCCGAATGACATTGTGCACCAGGAAACGCCTCAAGTGGAATCCCGATGGCAAGCGACAAGTAGATAGTCAGCAAGTGACATACAGGAGATCGTGTGAGGAGGAGATGAGAGATTATGGGCAATCGTGGACCAAGTTGAAGAGGACAACAGAAAATAGAATAACGTACAGATGTATTGTTGAAGCCGGACCTATGTTCCACTCGGAACCCAAGGGAATAATAATAATAAATATCATTATTGACAATTTTTTTAAAACAATCATCGGGATCTATAGTCACTCATAGATAGGTAACAGGTAAACTCAGCAGTTTAATGAAAGTGTCAATACTGAGATAACCGTATAGTTTAAGTCATCCAATCTTTAAAACAACCATGCTTAACAGTTTTAAGGTAACATGAGACGTGAAATTTCAATTTACCCAATCAACTTTTGATTATAGCTTGATTCCACACCGTAGTTTTGATACAAGTATGGAATTCTTGGCATGTGATATCGGTATCCCAAATTTTACAGGTCGACCATTGATATCGGGTGTGCATCGGCAGGGGATCGAACCCGGACCATGTGCATGGTCGGCGAGAATCCTAACCGCTGTGCCACCAACGCACTTGGGTAACTGTCTCTTAGTTTCAATTTTATCACTCAATGTCTTTAAACACTTACTTTACAATTCGTAGGATGTATAAAACGTCGATGAGGGGTGAAATTATACGATTACTAGGTAAATGGAATAAAAATAAAAACGTTGAGTAAAATTGCGTGAAATTTGATAACATACCATGTTTGTCCAAGAGGATGCAAGAACACTATCCTGCATTGCGGTTACGAAGAGGTGGAAGTGGAGCTATAAGAAGAGCGATCATTAAACATCTGGTCGATAATGATCACCTTATCTCTCTCTACAGCCTGCCCCATTAAAGTCACCTACAAGGCGAAAAGTAATTTGCCCAAATAACTACGCATCCGACTCATCTGTATTTACTGAAGGCATCTTTGGCAATCGAAATAGAAAAGCCAGATCCTTATATACAGGAAAAAGTTCGTTCAACCCCTCCCCCCCCCAAACTTTCATGGTCTTAATCGCTCTATGCTAAAGTATGGTAATCCCCATTTCATATTTTGGCTTTACTTATTTTTCGTTTTGTTAATTCACTTTTGTATACCCTTCCGTTATTAACTAAAATCAGTTGTTACTACTATTACTACTATTCTCACTTTGAATTGTCCCCGCTATTATCTCACTCGTCCCACTTGTCATACTAAATTAAAAATTTTTCTGCAATGTTAATTTCTATGTTATCGAATTTCACGCAATGTTACGTAACGTTTTTCATCTTTATTCTATTTGCCTACTAATCCTAAAGTTTCACTTCCCTCTTCCAAGTTCCATATATCCTACATGAACCATTCTATATATGCTCGGATAATGGCGCTCCTTATTGCTCCATTGTTACCTTTCCGTAGCCAGGCGGAATAATGTTCTTGAACTCTTTTAGATAAAAACTCGCATCGAACGACCTATATACCTCACTCCGCAAGAGCAGGTGAATTGGTAGATACACATGGAAGTGGTCAAATGCGATAGTTTATCTTTAGAGTAGTTGAAGAACAATGACCGGGAGGAAAATGTCAGTCGTAGTGTGGCAGCGAAGAATGTCCTTCTTAGAGCAGTAGATATCCTCTTCTTCAAGGTGTCAGCCAGAAGGTCACCTTTGAAGGGTACATCCATGTAGATCATCTTCTTCTGTATTGTAGTGGGTTGTTCTTTGTAGGTCTTAGGCTTAATATGCTTGTCTATAAAACGGGGTGGGTAGCCATTCTCGAGCAGTGTCTTCCTTAAGAGGGCGATCTCTTCCTCTATCGATTCAGGACTCCAGATTTTTCGGATTCTAGTCGCCAGAGATATTATCAAGTTTCGCTTGCGACTAATTGATACCCAACTGTAGAAGTTTGTCAACTGACCGTTCCATGTAGGTTTTCTGTGTACTGATCTGTTCAAGGTACCATCGGTCTTCTTACTTAAACGAACGTCCAGAAAGGAGATTGTCTCTTTGGTTTCTACTTCGATTGTAAATTTGATGGCGGGGTGGCAACTATTGAACACTTGAAGAACCATATTTTGATCACAATTGTTATCGCAGACGACGAAAGTATCATCAACATACCTTTTGTATAAGAAGAATTTGTCGATGGTTGCTTTCAGCGGACCATTTTCCAAACTTGCCATGAAAATATCAGCCAACACCAGACCCAAAGGTGATCCCATCGCCACGCCATCTTGTTGTCTATAGAGGTTCCTATTGAATGTGAACTGTACATTTAGGGTACATCTGAGTAGGAGTTCTTTTAGCTTGGTGGTAGGTATTCCAATATTCAGGTTGTTTTCTTCCAAGTATTTGCATAGAAAACAAATCGTCTCAGTGATAGGGACGTTTGTAAAGAGAGACTCGACGTCGAGTAAAATCATACGTTTGTCTCCCACTTTAACATCTTTGATACAATCGATGACAATCGACAAGCTTCCGTATACTTTGTATTGCCGAAGCCTTAGCGATTTGGATAGAAAAGCCTGAATATTCTATATATGACAATAGTTGTTTTGCCACTTGACATTTAACTATGATTATAATCATAAAACAATTTAATCGCATTTCATACTGCTATTATTATCATTATTATTTTATGCATTCACACCTACGACTCAATTTCCGCAACGGATTCGATTTCTTTAAAAACTACGTATATATAACTGTGCAGCTTGATAATAAATTCAGTGATGAAAAGAGCCTCCTCGCTGATTCACTTGTTTTGATTATTTAATCCAATTTTAGATTTTCCCGTCAATTGATTGATTGGATCGAAGTGCTCGATCTCAGGTTGACGTATCGGCTTCTTGTGCAGATGCTTCGACGATGTTTGGGCATGTAATTGGAAGTTAATTGGTGGTTGGTGACTAGCAGTGGAATCCAGGATAAAACTCACCTCGTCCTATTTGGGACTGGCTCGTCATCTGGATATACCTGCATTCCACAGTGAATGATGATGTTCCCACCGAGGCTTGAACCCTGTGCCCAAAGTTTCAAATGCCAAAGCGTTATTCACTAGACCAGTTGGGTCACGAGAGCCACCTCTTGTGCAATTGATCGTCCCCAAATAGGACGGAATGCGCATCCTGAATTCCACTTATTTTTTCAACACTTCATCATGAACTGACATCGGTTAGAGAACCATCGGAGTACTGGACAGCCAATTATTTCTCCCTCGTTTGGGACTCTTCAGAAGTACGCATCCACCGAGTTCTGAACCCAGGACCTTCTGGTTACAAGACGAGTTCATGGACCGTTAAGTCAGTCACTGGGCCCCGAAACAGTGGCCCATGAATCCCAACTTCTGCCAATTCACAATATAACGCGATCACTAGCGAATATCATTGCTGGCGAGTATTTATCCTCACACCCGACCTGCTGTACCCACCCCACTGGTCACGACTTCCAACTAGAACCCAGGTAACTACCTACCTGAATAGGGTCAGTGACTAGTGAGCATCTCATTGATATTCAATTGTTGGTTTGCATGGATTTGATTGGTTTCAGGATCATCGGACAACCTGTGAGTACTGGACAACTGTTCCGTCCTAGTTTGAGATGATTCTTCAACGGCATGCACCCACTGAGGTTCAAACTCAGGACCTTTTATTTGCCTACTAATCGTATAAGTTACCTTACAGACATTCATAGTTCGTCTAATTCAAGATGAATAAAGCCTATAAAGCTAGAGTATCCCGAATTAGGTACTTGATTTCCAACTAGCCAATGAGAGGTATCAATATACAATTTTATGAACTGCCAATTTCATGCAACACCAAGTAAAACGACTATGTTACCGAAGAGTATTCAATATGATGTCATCCATTAAAAATTGAATAGAATGACTATTGATTTATTCAGTAAAACGACACTGTGGCCTAGCATTGTCATAAATATAATAGTAGACAATTATCTGAACACAATTTAAGCTTATATACATTCTGGAGAAATTATTCAATCACTTACTGTAGGAATATTTAGAATTTCTGCATAGAGTAAGGCTATTTGAGTGAACCAAACAGGATAAAATTGTTTTTGTACTGCATCGTCGATTTCAATGGAACTCCATAAAGACGACAAATCGACCCATAGTTGAAATTGTGTAGATGAACTGTTAGTGTTATTGACAAGAGAGGAATCACCGTCGAAAAAAGACGGTGGAACTGCCAGTAGAAGACGTTGTAATAGTTCAATTCGATCTGTATAAGGTGTTACAATTATAAACGCATATAAAAGGTTTATTTGTAAGCATATGAATCTAAAATCAAAGCAGTCCAAAGTATCAACAGTTCCGAAAAAGGAAGGCCTTATTCTTACAAATGTAGTCGGTTCCTTAGGGACAACATCAGCGAGATACTAACACAGTTCCTTAGAAATGAGGTAGAAAGACCATTCCCTGCTGCTACTGAATTACGCAGTGTCTTCAAAACCACTCCACCCTTATTTTTGCGTTCAGGAGTAAAAGATAAACTCCTACGATGAGTTACTGACTCACCTACAACTTGCTGCAGCCTACTAGTCACGGTTTCCCACTGGAACCCTAGGCGAACAGTCGCTAATCACTTCCTTTTCAGGCGAACATAACAATAAAAAAAAGATATCCTACCTCGTTTCGATTCATACGCTTGAGGCATAAGACGTATCATTAAATGTCCAATATAATCTTCTTGAGTGATTGATAACTGGCACTTTTTTTAAAAAAAAGAAGATATTTAGTGAATTGAATGAAGTAAACTTACATGGTGTTTAAGAAAAAATGACAAGTCTTGTTTCTTGTTCAACTTTAAAAAGCATCGTACAATAGCTTCAGTAATAATTCTTTTTGGATATCCATCCGAGGCTTGAATACTATCTATCTTATGTGTGTATACCGCATATTTACCAAGATAAAGTAAACATACCCCCCATAATTTGAGTAAACACTCTGAACAACGATCATATTCGTTCAGTAAATAAAACCAATCTGATGAAGCCTTCAAAGACTCTTCATCATTTTCATGTAGAAATTTCTGCAAAAAAATACATCAGGTTTCAATAAAAAAAAAAGAAAGATAACCAACCAAGTCACCAACAATGTTAGGAAGAAACGCAGGATAGCGGGGACGTTCATCATTGGCTTCACGTTCAAACAGGCTTTCATCGAAACATAAGAAGTCATCCATTCAGAAGTCACTATGAGAATCTGCAGTTGTAAGAAATAAGTACAGACAGTAAGTTGATAATTATTTTGACTTTGCTTTCGCTAAAACCAAAAATACGGAATATACATATTGGGTCATAGGAGTTATTAAGAAGACATTTGCAGCGAAGAAAATTTTCTTTTCGACGAAGTCATCATCTAGAATGTATATTCGTGTATTTATATCAAATGGATGGGAAAGTTCCAGAATAATTTCCGGTTAACGGTCAAATTAATAAAAAAAACAATTACAATTAGGAATTAGAATGCCATAATAAACAGGGGAACGGATAAAACTCAAACAAAGTAGCATCACAATTACTGAGAAGATTGACATATTGTGCAATTGGGGGTTAGAAATGTAGAAATAACAAAATAGACAGGATGTTTGGATAAGAACTAATGTGACGAATAATGGTTTGTGCAATCAGGGATTAAATATGTAGAAATAATAAAATTACAAAAAATAGACAATAAGTTTGGGTATGAAAATATGGTAGTGTAAACAGGGATTAAGAAAAACTTAAAAATTAACATGAATAAACGGGAAGTTTAGATAAGAAAGGCGATGGGATGGTCATTACTAAAAAATTACCTGTTTATGATGGCCATGGGAGGGACAGGGGTTGGACGTATTTCTTTTGTATACAAAGCGTGGGTTTGAGCTTTTGTATAGCTAGCGCCTCGGCTATGCCCAGATGTCTTGATTTCACTCCCTTTGGTAGGTTTGATTGAATCTTGTATATTACTTTGAAAGATTTTTCGAAAGGCGCTAAGTGCCCTCAACTAAACAGATGTTCTATCACTGAACTGTATAATTTTGGTCTCCTTTTACTAACCAGGCTGGATAGTGTTCACGAGCGCGTTTTTCAAGTCGGCTCATGGTACGGCCAACGTACTCAGCTCCACAAGAGCAAGTAAACTGGTATATGCACGTTGAGGTGGCCCAATGCGACAGGCTTGTCTTTCGCGTTCTGGCTGAACAGTTTCTTGCAGGAAAACGTCAGTCGTAGGCTCGCGGCGAAGTATGTTTTCCTCAGCGACTTGGAGAGGCGTTTGCGAAGGATTTCTGCCTCAATATCAGCTGTGAATTCTAGATTAAGCAGAAGTATTTTCTTTGGAACGGATTGGACTTATTCCGAAGTCTTCTTAGGTCTGAGATTCTTATCTATGAACCTGGGCGGGAAACCGTTTTCCATCAGGGTTTTTCGAAGATTACGCAGTTCTTCTTCAACCACTTCCTCGCTGCATATCTTGCGAATCCTCGAGGAAAGAGCGTATATCATCACATTAGTTTTTTTATCCAAACATCCTGTCTATTATTGCTATTTCTTCAATTCTAACCCCCAATTGCACAATATGTCAATCTTCTCAGTAATTATGATGCTACTTTGTTTGAGTTTTATCCGTCCCCCTGTTTATTATGGCATTCTAATTCCTAATTGTAATTGTTTTTTTTATTAATTTGACCGTTAACCGGAAATTATTCTGGAACTTTCCCATCCATTTGATATAAATACACGAATATACATTCTAGATGATGACTTCGTCGAAAAGAAAATTTTCTTCGCTGCAACTGTCTTCTCAATAACTAAAAATAAAATTTTAGGTATGGAATTGACAATTCCCCTTAGTTATTCCTATGAATTATGTACCAATGACTAACTGACTGGTGTCAACATAGAACTGTACACAGATGTACAACAGTTCCAGTTGCCATTCTCCTACATGTAACACACAAAGCAAGAGAAGAGAGTAAAGGAAAGTTCAAAGGATATATATAATAAACAAGTATGGGTGAGGGAATAAGAATAGTGATAAAGGAAAACAATAGTTTTATTGTATATAATAAATCCCACAGTGAATGCACCTACGCTGTCACTGACAACGGGAATTTCGAGCCATATAACCAATTGTCTCCAGCCGTTGTCACTAGTTCTGACCATCCCTAGGACCCCAATCGGACTGGTAGTCCACGTCTCCTGACCTGTCTGGCTGGGAGGCTTGAACTAACCGTTGTGGATTTATTTCACTAACTGATGAAGCCATGTTTTTGTCTGACCACCAATAGCTTTCTCTTTTCTAACCTAATCAATCTTATGACGGTCAGCTAACATTGCCAGTTGTCAAGGAAGGCATGGGATGGCTAGGCTAGGCATGCGTAATACATGCCCTGACCATCTCCATCAATCGACATAACTTCACAACCTCGTCAATTGATTTCCCCTCCAACTCACCTAGCACTCGACCGATATCTAACCCCAATATTACTCACCCTATTATACCACCTGACACACACAGCAGATAGAAAGAAGACACGTGTGATCATAGACAGCCAGCTAGCCAGGCTTTTGATATCTTCCTCGTTCAATGACCATGCTTCACAGCCATAAATGAGGACGAAGCGAACTGTTGAGCAGTGCACACATGCTTTGATCGATAGCCGGATATCACAACTACGCCAAAGATGGCGTATGTTGGCATATACCACGTCTATCTTTTGTCTCCGTGCTGAGATTTCATCAACGATCAACCCACTGATAGATGGGGCTGATGCAACTTCCTAAATAAGTGAAGTGGTCAACACGCTCCATCAACAACTTCACCCCTGCCTACCCATCTTTAAGCTAAGAGTCAATGTAGTCCAGTCCAGTTGCATCAGCTTACATTCGACGGGAGCGAATCGCATGCCACACATTCGAAGATTGCTTACTGATCAAGGTGTTCAGGAGACTCTGATCTATTTTGTCAGCGTCTTCACCCAGGACAATAACATCCACATACTCTAAATCAAGAAGACTACTGATTCTTGATTAATAACAAGTCCATCCCTGAATCGATGAAGTCAGTTAGGGTTAAGTCCATTAGTACATGCATCTTTGATGAAATTAAACAGAAATGGGGACAGTGGGCATTCCTAACGGACACCACTGGTTGTCACCACTTCAGATGAAAACTCTCTGTAAGCTCTAACCTGGTTGGCTGCATGAATTCGAGTAGAGTGCTTTGATCAGTGTAATGTTTTGATGTGGTTTTGTTCTCTGAGCTGGATGGTTAGTTTGCGAAGCTTTCATCGCCCTACTGGGTGACATCTTCAGCGCATACTTCAATTTGAAGACTTCAAATCGGACTAACCATCCAGCTCAGAGAACAAAACCACATCAAAATTATCCACCTGAGCTACAAATCTTCTCTATCATATCAGTGTAATGTATTTCCTCACCATTCCCTTCACTGCCAAACATCACCATAATACCTCTCGGTCGACAGAGTTGAATGCTGCTTTTAGTTCAAAAAACATGCAAATTGTTGGACGTCGGTAAATATGCCTATGTTCCAGAATCTGTCGAAGGGTGATGATACGATCAATACAACTACTTCCTGGTCTAAAGCATGACTGGTTCTCTTGTGTTTTTTTTCTTCCGAGCGCCATATATATATATATATATATATATATATATATATTTCTCCTGCGGCAACATAAAAGGCAAGGCAGAGTATTAACAACTAGTTTTCTTGAATACTGATGACCACCAATGGGTGGAATCGAAGACACTTATATTACCTACAATTTGTACACAACTACCACCATGTATGTACATATACAGACTATCAGAAGAGACAACATATATGGGACGAGTAAAGTGATGATTCAGAAGTCGACTATCCCCTTTTAAAAAGCCCAGTTATTGCATCCTTCTATTCCGGTTGATAACTTAGATCTGAAAATAAATCGTATATTCCACACACTCTTTCGATGGAATATTTGTATCGTTCCTTCATACGTAAGTTGTTGTTCATTGTTCACCTAAATTACATATTGATACACCTGTCTAATGGAAACAATTAAATCTGTCAGTTGGTGTTTTAATACTGTTGCTACGAGTGTGCATTTATAAAAAAAGTCGATTGTTGGTAACAGTTGATCACTTAATTTCGGGTTAAATTAAAGTGTGACAGATTCTTAATAGTAGGCGTTAACCGACATACTATGACATCCAGTGATGAGACTGTCCTTAATAAATATTCTTCAACAATACTTAATGTGGATGCGTATAACTTCGAGTACACTGGCGACAAATTAAGGCTCCGTGATTGATACGTAGAGATGCTCAGGAAAGCGTAAAATACTTAAATTCGAATGTTTTCAGTACTTACCACGAACCCACTAACTAGACTGATACATTTCCGTTGCACTAGATCTTTCAACACCTTAATCTGTTAAAAGCAGATGTTTTGACGAAACACAGGTAGTGATCTCCGACCTACTTATATATTTTTCCCTCAGTGTTCATCAGATCCTTGCGTCGAAGATTCAGTTTTAAAATCATTCTCACTTCTCCTAAAATACACATATACGAATGATTTTATCAGAAACATGGCATAACCGATGAGCAATTTGTTTATCTTGGTACTATAACTGTATCCACCAGATTTTTCCAAGACGATGAGCAAATACGGTCATTCCTACGAAGAGTTTTCGCTAAAAGAATGCTAACTTGATATTTCAATACTTTCACTCCAATATTCTTAGTATAGATGTGAGTCAGGTCCAGTGGGAAGCTAAGCAACCGTTAAAAGTGAACTTGGTTTGGACATATTTCATAAGGGGACCCACAAATACGGAAGTTCAAATACTGTAGATAAATGCAATACTTATGCAGACTAGTCTAGTATAAAGAGAAATTCTTATCATAAAGATTTTAATGATGCCGATTGGCGTAGATGCGATATCCGGCTATCGATCAAAGCATGTGTGCACTGCTCAACAGTTCGCTTCGTCCTCATTTATGGCTGTGAAGCATGGTCATTGAACGAGGAAGACATCAAAAGCCTGGCTAGCTGGCTGTCTATGATCACACGTGTCTTCTTTCTATCTGCTGTGTGTGTCAGGTGGTATAATAGGGTGAGTAATATTGGGGTTAGATATCGGTCGAGTGCTAGGTGAGTTGGAGGGGAAATCAATTGACGAGGTTGTGAAGTTATGTCGATTGATGGAGATGGTCAGGGCATGTATTACGCATGCCTAGCCTAGCCATCCCATGCCTTCCTTGACAACTGGCAATGTTAGCTGACCGTCATAAGATTGATTAGGTTAGAAAAGAGAAAGCTATTGGTGGTCAGACAAAAACATGGCTTCATCAGTTAGTGAAATAAATCCACAACGGTTAGTTCAAGCCTCCCAGCCAGACAGGTCAGGAGACGTGGACTGCCAGTCCGATTGGGGTCCTAGGGATGGTCAGAACTAGTGACAACGGCTGGAGACAATTGGTTATATGGCTCGAAATTCCCGTTGTCAGTGACAGCGTAGGTGCGTTCACTGTGGGACTTATTATATACAATAAAACTCTACTGTTTTTCCATATTATTATTCTTTTTCCCTCACTCACACTTGTGTGCGTCGGTGGCACAGTGGTTAGGACTCTCGCCGACCATGCACATGGTCCGATCCCTTGCCGACGCACACCTGATATCTATGGTTGGTCTGCAAAATTCGGGCTGCCGATATCCATGCTGAAAATTCCGTACTCGTACCAAAAATACAGTGTGGAATCAAGCTGTAATAAATAAATATATATATACATATATAAATCCTTTAAACTTTCCTTTACTCTCTCATCTTCCTTTGTGTGGTACATGGAGGAGAGTGGCAACTAGAACCGTTGCACATGTGTGTAAAGTTTCATGTTGAAACCTGTCAATCAGTCACATGTTCGTGCTGCTCCACACATCTAACGCGCGACGGTATGCCGTAACTCTTGGTGCACATAGTAATATGATTGCCAGAGTTGACTGTTGGAATATTGTCAAACGATTTCAATTTTCGCCACAAAGAGGGCGAGCATCGAGTTCAAAATAAAAATATTTTGAGACGTTATTTTCAGTGAACATCCAAGGATTTTGCCCGAAAGAGGAAAGTAACTTAAATTTTCGAGAGGAGGTATTCCACGGAGCGACCTAACTTAGAAATCAGTACCACTTCTTGTTGTATCCAAAATAAAGGTTGGTCTAACATTTACCAACATCAACCCTGCACCACGTCGCCTATATAATATGCATAACTATATAAATACACAGATCAGAAATAGTTGTGAGGATATCAACATAACTGTGAGTCGTTAGTTAACAGTTATTGTGAATCATCAACATAAATAAAAATTAGTACTCAACAGATGAGAAGTGTAGGGATCACTGTGATCATGAGCAATAGTTACTCATCTAATTTCCACAACATAGTCATTTCCGCTCGGCTAAATCCCACCGACATACTTGTACGAAGGAAGGTGAAAATATCACCTGACTGACAACAGCTACTATTACCAGACGGATAGCAAAAGATACGTTTCATAATCATATGTATATAAATGAAAGCCCATGAGATAGTACGATGGTTTCTCGATGTAGCCTGGGTTAGTTTTCCCGAAATTCTTAAATTAATTTGCTCCCAAAACGTTTTATTTCGGTCATTAGTCGGTTAACATTGACTTCGGGTGCATTGCAAAAACTTTGTAACAAACGTGTGTTTGGGAGAACTGCAGATAATCGGTGCAAACCTCAAGAGCACTGCAGATACCTCGGGGACACTAAGGTTCCACTGCAGGCGGCCGTCCAACTTTCTTAAATGAGCCCGAATATTTTACCCCGAGATGTCTGCAATGCACACAGAGTACATGACAGATGAGCATTTTTCAGAAATCATGTGAATATGTGTACCTGAGTTCTGATTGGTTACACAAGGTTACTGTGACTTTAGTTATAGTAGCTTAGCTTTGCCGAAAATTTCATGGCTGTTGCTTGATTTTCGCTGAAAAATGCTGTATCTGCCTAACCTGAAAATCAGCTGATTTTGGGCCCTAGGGGCCAATGTCTGCTGATCAGCTTCTCCTTATGTCAACCCTCCCAATACTACTGACTAAGTTATCCCTTAAGCACAGTTTCTCAGTGCACAACTTCACCAGTAGTCAGGTTACAGTCTTAATTTCTCATTAAATACTTACACTACCCTTCTCAGCTAACAAACTAGCACTGCTCACGTGCGAAAGTGCTCCCAAGGTCATAGAGCAAATTCGTTTGAACCGCTGAGTCCTATCCAAAATCCAGTGTAGTTTTCAAGAGCTAGTGTAAACCAAATGATTTCTTTGCCCTCGCTTTTTGGTTCTAAAGTGAAGGTTCCCAGTCTTCGATAATCATCTGCTCAGTTTGTCCTATGACTCGATTATCGTAACTTCGGCTGAGTCCAGGACGAGTAGCACCAGGATTGAATACATGTGATTTGTAGTATACGGTGTGTTATCACCATGTCAATGCTGTGTATGGAGTCGGCCCTTTCACACATTATTTGTTCGGTGAGGTCAAAAAGAGAGATAGTAATAATGACAAGTGATCAACAGTATTAATGTATATAATTAGTGTATCCAGTATCGGCTTTACGAGCTAGTAAAAACCAATTTGATTTCTTTGTGTTCGCTTCTTGATTGTAAGGTATAGGTTCCTGATCTTTGGTAGACTTCTGCGTAGCTTGTCCCGCCACTCGACTGTCGTAGCTTTGGTTGACTCCAAAGGGAGTAATGCTGTGATTAATTATATGTTGTTTGTAGTATGAGGTGTGTTAAGACTGTTACTACTGTGAACAGAGTTGATCCTTTCGCCAGTTAGTCCTCCGGTATCGTCGACAAGAGAAAAGAGATAATAATAATTATAATAGATATAATTAGTGAAGTTATTCAGACTAACAGACAGAAAAGGAAATGGGAAAGCGTAGCAACAGTCAGTTGAATTTATACGAATTATATATATATATATATATATATATATATATATATCGGTAATAATGATGATAATAATAATGAGTGTAGTTAAAGTTGTCAGGAGAGTAAGACGCGAGAGAATGTAAGGAAGTAAAACGACGAGATTAATTGTCTACCCCTGAATGGTGTATGTGATTTTAAGGAGATAAGCCATCTAGATGCAGTCCTTCTGTCGCTGCATGGTTGTCCAGCCTTCGCTTAAAGGCGTCCAAAGACGGTGCCATAGCTACATCTGCCGGCAAGAAATTCCGGGGACGGCAAACCTGCATTGAAAAGAAGTGGGAGTGCATCCGGGTCCTTGCCCTCCGTTGAGCTATCCCTCTGGGATTTCCACGTGGGAGCCTATACCTACTCAGTGGCAGAACACCTCTGTTTGGGTGACTCTGTCATTTTGCAGACAGTAATTAAATCTCCCCTAAGACGTTAGCAGCTAAGTTTGAACAGGCCTAATTTCTTCAGCCTTTCATCATATGGTTTATTTCGGAGACCAACTACTCCTTTTGTCGCCCGTCTTTGGATTCTTTCCAAGAGGTTGGCGTCTCTTCTAAGCATTGGGGGTCGAATTATATTATGCACCTCAAGGTGTGGTCTGACGTGTATTTTGTACAACCTTAGAAAGAGCTCAGGAGTGAGTGCACCTAACTGTCTATATGTATGACTGCATATGCCCTAGCTACATCCCCCGTGTAATTTACGCTTGTGTCCATTTTTTCCGTTAGAACTAGACCTAAGTCGCGTTCCGACGTCGTAAAGGACAAGCTTTCATTGCACAGGATGTAACTTGCATTCTGCAGTCTACAGGTGCGCAACTTCACTACTTTGCACTTTTTCAGGTTGAAAGTCATACCACTGGCCACCGCACAGAAGGCTTAGATCCTCCTGAAGCCTATCTGAGTCCGCCGGACACTTTATCTCCCTCCATATCTTTACATCTTCAGCGTATAGAAGAGTCAGGCAGCTTAGACGGTGTGGTAGATCATTGATAAAAATCAAAAGCATCAGTGGTCCCAGGATAGAACCCTACGACACTCCTGATGACGAGCTGTGCCAAGATTATCGGACTCGATTGACCTCAGTGCAAAATTGCCTGTCGGCTAGGTAGTCCTTTAACCATGACAGAAGTGGTTCACCCACACCTGCCTGGCTTATTTTGCGCAGGAGAAGGTCATGGCGAACAGTGTCAAATGCCTTCTCAAAGTCTAGGAAGACCACATGGACCGGAGCATTCATGTCCCAGAATGATGCCCAATCGTCTCAAGTTGACAGTAGGTTAGTAACGCAGGATCTGCCTTTCCTGAAGCCGCGTTGGGCTTCATGGAATATATTAGACCTATCGAAATATTCCCTGATGTGATCGTCAATAATACTTTACAGTAATTTTGATACCACTGGGAGTAGAGCTACTGGTCTATAGCTAGCAGCGTTTTGCCTGTCCCCACCCTTGAAGATCGGAGAAAGGATGGCTCTTTTCCACTCCCTTGGCAGGGTCCCCGAATCCATTGAGTGTTGAAATAAGTCGCTCAGGGGCCCACAGAGAGCTTCGGCGCAATGTTTCAGAACAGATGGCCTGATGTCATCACAACCTGGGGGCTTCCCAGGTATGAGTCGCCGTAGCTTCCTTAGTACTATTGCGGGATTTATTTGGAGAGTGTCCACTAGGTCTTCCTCCTCTGTAATAGTGGTGCCACCATTCTGGTCCGTAACTGTAATACCCACATTGCTGTTTGGCTGTTTGGCAAAGTCTGAACTGAATGTTTCAGCCATCTCCAGACTAGTGAGATATTGACCGTCTGGGCCTACAAAGGCGCATGCCCCCTGGTTGGTTGGTTTACTTTCCGACATGAATCGGTACAAGTTTTACGGATTTGCTAGGAGATTTTAGAGAGGTTAGCCTCATTTTTAATAATAATAATATATTTTCTCAATTTTTACATGAGGGACGCCAGTTTACAGGCATCATCAATTCGATAATTTACACATAATATTAATAAGCATATTTAGTAAAGATAATATAATAAAGTACATTTTTTCCCTAGCTATGTAGGGTACACCAATTGTATAGGCATGCATAAATATTGTTTTAATAATAATAATATATTCCTTCCTGTTTATGCAGGAACATACCTATTGTACAGGCATGGATAAGTTATTATATAAATTACACATAATTTGATGTATAATGGACTTACAGTTTGGTTGTTCTTTCTGACATTAGAGTCAGTCGGAACAGTCTGCTATAAAGTCTGTTTGTGTAGCACATAAAGAGATATAGAAATATTGTCTTCGCATTAACAAAAAACCCAGACATCACATGAATGTAATACAGATATCTGGGAAAAATAAAGCTTGAAGTCAATTCTCCTATATAACTTTGTTGTGAACAGCACCCTTGGCTTAAAGATTATTGATGTATTATGTTGAGATCAGTGATATATTTATTCCATTTTTCAGCAGTCTTATCGTAGTTTCATAACAGGAAAGAAATTTGATCGTGGAGGCGAAAATTAGATAAGGTCATGTCGGGTTGTTTTACTGCATCAAATGGTCCCGAGGTCGATTCCAGAATTCTCCATTTGCGCCATTTGTGTCTGCATGGCGGACTGTACTCGTAAGTTGAGTAAAATGTTGAAAACCAGTTGCTTCTTTATTTCAGATCATGAATACTCATTTACATCGTGTCCGCCAGCTTCTTTAAATGGTAGAATTGGATCGTTCCTGGAATTTGAGTGATTATGGGATAAATGGTTTGGAATTAATCATAGCAGTTAGAATACAGTTAAACATGCAGAGAAGTACTTTTGATTCAGCAACCGGTGAATTTTTTATTCTTTTCGATCTAGTACCAGAATAACTGCGAACCATTCCATTCAATATGTCGAATAAGGCACGCAGGAGGAGATCATTACCATGGAATGAGTCAACTTGATCTGAGATGCAGCTTTCAGCATGTTTTCGTTATATCATAGATATCCAGGTTTATTGGCGCTGTAGAGGCAGTGATTTGGATTATGACGTATTCTACAAAGTCTCCGTGCCCATTTGAAGTATACATGTGCTTTGAAAGGATTACTTTGTTGGCTCCTACCCCCACTGAGTGTTAACAACAGCTGCTGTGGGTTTATGTATTTCCTCGCCTTTTTGGATAAAACATCGCCGCATTCTTTTTGGGTAGGAGACCAGTTGGTGGATTATAAATGATATCCAAGTAACTTTTATCTTTTCATGTGGTGTTGCGGTAAGTTTCTACCTTGTTTTCTCATATTTCATTCGTATGTTGATTATGGTTCGCCCTTTGTATCAGGTAGACATAGTTTGATCGACTCTTGGTTGAATGGGTGTTATTGTCATGACTGCTGCTTTTTTGTCTGGAATTATAAATAGAGACAAAACAAACAACAGGTGTAGTCTCTGAGTTCATACATTAAATGGGCCTATGATTTCTGAAACTCTTACATGGGAATTACCATTGGTATCAATTACAAACTCACTTAGTGTGTCATTAAGTGCCTTTTCAAAGGAGGCCAATGTGCTTGCTAGTCGTATTTTCTCAGGTAGTTTGTTCCATATTTGGGCATACCTAATCAAGAAAAACTTTTGCCTGGTGGCTGTTTTACATGGTTCTATAGCCACTGTACCTTTAGTGTGCCTAAGGTTGTATCCTGTGTTACCTGAGAACCGAGTATAGTTAGCAGGGGTATACACTATTTGGTTAAGAAGCTTATAGAAGAGTAACAGATTTAGTCGCAGTCGCCTTAACCATAATGTTTCTAGTCCCAGGATTTCACATCTGGTAGAGTAGTTTGTGCCGTTATCGGTTCCGAGTACTTTTCGCGTGAAGTACCTCTGTACTCCTTCTACTTTCAGTTTGTCTTCTATGCGTGTACTGCTGAATATGAATGAGCAGTAATCTAGGAGTGGGCGCACACATACCTTGTACAGTAGTATTCTGGACTCGTTTCTGTAGAAGTTCCTGAGTAGGAAACCAATAAGCCTTCGTGATTTCGACACTTGATTCGAGATATGCTCTGAAAATGATAGATTGTGTGAATATTTCAGTCCTAGGTCTAGTACAGATTTGAGTCTGGGGATTTTGTGGCCCTGAATTGCTAGGTTGAGGTCAAGGTTGGAACAGCCTATGCAGAGCCATCCACACTTTTCAACATTAAACTCAAGTCTCCACGTGTCACACCATCTATCCATTTTTGCTAATTCTTCATGTATGGAGTTCATAGTTGGGCCGATATCTGTATTTGTGCAGGTATATGTCACCTTCAAGTCATCTGCATACAGTATTGGCTTGCCTATACTAAAACATTCACATATACTGTTTATGTATATAATG